AAAACATGTTTTAAAATTGAAACCAAAATAAGCGATGCATTTAAATCATTTAGCTAAAGTAACTTAAGTGATCTAACTACTTAACAAAGTGCTCTTATTTGTTTAGAGTTTCAAATATGGAAGAAGGGTCGTCATCATCATCGCCAAAAGCCAAGTTCCAACTAATTGAAGTCGGTTAAGAAAAGGTAATTTGTGTATTTTTTAACTCAATAGTTGAGCTATCAAAGCAAAACAATTTTTAAAAAGGGTGCAGTTTGCATGTCGATGCATCCGTAGGTGTAGAGGTACTGTGTACGTTCAAATTTTACAATGGCATATAATTTTGATGTAAAATGTTATTAGGATTATCTCAAAATCTATTTTTATATCTAATTATCAAATTTTAAATTTCAAAAATAATTAAAATCAAGTAGATCTATAAACATATGAAAATTTTGAAAAATTGACAGTATAGATAATATGTTGTAAAATGCACTATTCTGAGACTTAAAATATTTTTATTTTTCAAAATCAAGTAGATCTATAAACATATGAAAATTTTGAAAAATTGACAGTATAGATAATATGTTGTAAAATGCACTATTCTGAGACTTAAAATATTTTTATTTTTCAAAGTCATACATCTCGATGTTGAGATGATCAATCAGAGGGTTTTTCAACATTAAAACTACCTTTTCTGATAGATTTTTAGGGGCATTTGTAGTTCTACGTTATAAGGTAGCATCCTTATATAACTTTTTCCTTTTAAAAATTAATCACTTTGTTTGTAAATAGTCAAATTAATTACCTCATTAATATTTTTGTTGTTGGGCTTTTATTCATCATTTTATTTTTTTGACAATTGAGAGCTACATAAATGCATCATCCCTCAAAGCCGAATACAACCAAAATTTTGGCCCATTAACTGCCCTGAAAGTTGTTAGATTGGAGGATGGTTAGTTAACCTATATTCAGACACATGGGCCCATAAAAAATAAGGATCTACATGATGATTGCTTTTAGAAGATGTCACGGAATGCTGGACCACAAAATTATTTGCTGTCCAACTGAACTTGATGTTATCCAAGAACACTAAAAAGATATAGCCCCGTCCCATGGGTGCACACTGTACTCTTCCTCCCTAGTACAAAAGAGCTAAACTCCCATAGATACTCTTGCACGTGGGATTTCTCGATACAAATTTGAAGGAATCCGGCTTGGATCAAGGCTGCAGCAGCTAGGTTTTTATAGCACTACGTCTCAAGTTTCATTCCTATTTAACCTTGTCAAAAAAAAATTATATCGATAAAAAAATGTGGGCCCACTCTAAAATCTAAACCACCAAATGAGTGTTTTATCTAGAAAAAAAAAAAATGTTGAGTTCCTAAACACCTAAGATTTTGGCTGTAAACACTTAAGATCTAGGCTGTCCAAAATTATATTGTTTTTGTTCAATCTCTAGACATTTATTTTTTCAAACACATAGTATATAATGTTTATTTTATTTTATTGTTTTGAGGTCTGAGGTTACGTCCTCAAATTTGGGTCCCAAATATACTCTTAAATAGGGTTTTAAGCCGACATGCTCCCACAAGAGGATCTTTAGGGAAAGGGAAATAGAAAAAAGAGTATAGTCCCAAAGGGTCACATTGTATACTTGCACCCTTGGACAAAATCCCGTTGTAGGTTTAATTTCCTGTAGGACCTCAAATTTTAGGGATGCAACTTACTCAACCTCACTAACTGAAAGAGCGTATAAGAAATGGCATCCATGTGAACTCCTGAATGGTGTGTGCTCCAATAATTGAGATTAGAAAGGAAGAAAATAGATAGTCAAGCTTGCAATCTAGTTTTTTATTTTAATTTGTTTATATTAACTTTAAATTTCACTTGTCCACACTTCTCAATCATGTATTCAAGTACACTGAAAATATTTAAAAAAATAGTTTGTAAAAAATAAATGGAACAAAATACATTGAAAACATTAAAGAATTATTGGGTTAATAAGATATATTTTGAATTAGTTTTCTATTTTTTAAGTAATGCAATATAGAAAAAAATTGTAAATCCCACAGCAAACCATGACATTCTATTTTCTTTTATTCTAATCTAAACCAAATGGCACTAGCACACTTGAGTATATACCAACCAAAACTAAATAATTATGTCTCTTAAGCATCGACTCAATGGTAGACATGTTAAGGAGGCTAAGGGTTCAAATCCTTGGAATTTGCTCCCAAAAAACCAAATAAGACTAACCAACACCCTTTTTTAAGGAATTGGGTTTGGGCATCAGTGGTTAGCTATTGATGTCAAGAAATAATCCATCCCAAGTTCGATTCCTACTACTTAACTAGCCCCAATTACAAAAAAAAACATATAAACACTTGAAAACTTCCTAAAATTTTCATATTGGTTATACCCGCTATAATTTGAGCGGTCAGGTCTACTTATCAAGAACTTGATCAGTTGCTATTTTTTTTTTTAAGATCTCATAAATTGATTCTAAGTGATTTTTTGAAATCCTTGGTGCATATCTTAGCCTGTGTGTAATATGCACCCATGGGAGCACCCTATGTACATCCCTTAAAATAAAATTTATCCATCAGCACCCTCTCTCACAATCTTATACTATATTATTAAGCCAGAGTTAAGAGGTGAATACTTATCACAAAAATAAGAAAGGACCTAATTTTATAGAGATTGTAGGACACAAAAATAAGAAAGGGCCTAATTTTATAGAGATTGTAGGACACATTATTATATTTAAAGAAAGATAAAGAAATAGAATATGCACCTATTTAAGGATAATAACTAAATTTGAGAGAGAGAATATGCATGAGAGAGATTCTCATATCCATCATTTTCTCAACATTGCTTCCATATCTTAATTTGAGAATGAGAGAGAGCGCACAAGAAAATGATTTTTAACTAAATTTGAGAGAGAGAGAGAGTATCTATAAAATTGATTCGTATTCAAAATCAATTCAATAAACTAATTCATTGAGAAAGGTACTTACCATATTTATTTAGGGGAAGAGGGAGAGAGTAAACACCTATTTTATATTATCGTAAGTATATACAGGACATATAAAATTTAACCTATTTTATTATATTATAGTAAGTTTATATAGGAGAAATAAATCGATAGAGTATGCACAAGAGAGAAAAAGAGATTTAACCTATTTTATTATAGAAAATATATAGGATAAATAAATAGAAAGATAGAAAAATACGGACAAGACAGAGATTTTCATGTCCATCCTTATCTCAACATTGTCTTTTATCTTAATTTGAGAGAGAGAAAGAAAGTAAGCATAAGAGAGATTTTTTACCAAATTTGAGAGAGAGAGAGAGCGCGAGAGGGTTTGAACAAGATAGAGGTTACCTCAAAATTGTTTCTATACCTTTGAGAGAGACGAGAAGCACGAGAGAGATTGTTAACCAAATTTGAAAGAGAGATATAGAAAGAGAGAGTACATATAAAAGAGAGATTTCCATATCATCTTAACATGGTTTGAGAGAGTGAGAGAGAGAGATTTCTATATCTAAACGAGTGAAAGAGATGGTACAATATTTAGTACTAGTCTATAAGATTGATTCTTATCTAAAATCGATCCAATGATCCAATTCACTGAGAAAGATGCCAAAAAGCACATGATAATCTCTCTCTCGACCAATATTTAAAAGCCCAATGCTCACATAAACTATGTTGGCTTCCACCTAAAATATTCTTGTCCTCTTTCTCAAACTTCTCTCAAACATGGTATATCAATGACTATATTGCGCATGTCTACGTTCGTATGGCTTCAATTGTGCACCATCTTTATGTTATTTTATTTTGTTAATATCTATATCATGCTCTCATGCCTATGTTCGTATGACTTCAATTGTGCACCATCTTTATGTTCTTTATATCATGCTCTCATGCCTATATTCGTATGACTTCAATTGTGCACCATCTTCACGTTCTTTTATTTTGTTAATGTCTATATTATGCTCTCATGTCTATGTTCGTACGTACGACTTAAATTGTGCACCATCATGTTCTTTTATTTTATGGATATCAATATTATTTTATTATTATTATTTTGGTTTGTGTTTTTACCTGACGTGCATGGTTAATGGGATGCTAGGTTAGGGTTTTCTGATGTTTTCCTAATCACGCAAAGAAAAAGTTCATTCCAAAGTAGGTTTGCAAGATTTTTCTTTTTATAATTTTAAATGCATTTTGCTTTGAGAAAAAGGAAATAATTGTAAAAACTTCAAATGTGCACGACTTTGTAATCCGGTTACACAATGTGATACATTGCTCTGACAAAAACTAGAAAAGTGAATATTACAAATGGAAAATATAGAATTTATACGATGATTTACAAGAATGTTCATTTTGTCCTACGCACAACGCACATAATCCGACTAGTATTTTATCATTCCAAGACACATTCTTTTGCCTCTGAATGCCCTCTCTTTCTATATCCACCATTCCAGTACACGTTCTTGCCTGCATTCAGAGAGCAAGTTCTTGCCTGCATCCAATATTGCTACCCATAACCGTGCACCAGGCACATATATTTGTATGGTGTGGTTTGTACAAGGCCAAGGCTCTAACAATCAAAATAGGACTCTAAACAATCAAAATAGGGCACACCGGCCAAAATTTGTTGTTTTAATATCAAAATTCTTTATGATGATCTGGAAATTTAAATTTAAAGTTAAAAAATAGCATAGATTGAGCATAACCATGAATACTTGAAATTTTTTAAAATTAACAGTCTACATAATACATTATAAGATGCACTATTTTCAATATTTTAAATCTATTTTTTCTCATGTCCATACATCTTGAGGTCAAGTGATGGAATTTTAGGGTTTGTCAACAACAAAACAACATTTTTTTATGCTTTTTGAGGTGCACCCTAATTTGTTTGTTTAGGGCCCCACCCTTATATAAATGTATTCCTTATATAAATTTATCAACATACCCGAGAAATGTAATATTTAGCATTTTACACTGACACTATTCCAATCATGTGTTGTTTGAGTATTTTGAAAACAAATCCCACAATATAGGTACAATGTAAAACAGTTCATCTCACAAGTATCTTTGACAATTTTCTCATATTCTAATAAGAGATGAGAGAGTAGGGGGAGGAATGACCGGAAAATTATCCATTATAAGAGGTTGAATAAAAAACTAAAGATCTATGCTTCTACCCTATTTGTCGAGATAAGCCTTTATTTTGTTGTCAATGTCCTCAATAGCTCACCTATTTTGATAGGCTAAAAGCAGGTAAGTCAAAGAAACATCTCCACATAAAACGCCATTGAATAACATTACCCCAAATTTCCACATTATCAAAAAGTAAATAAATCCATGATATGCCAAATTGGATGGACATTGACGTACGACATAGATACAAGTATAAAAACATTAATATGAAAATTGGACTTTTAGACACAACACATCTGTACATGATTTAAAAGAAAGACAAGGTTGTGATCTTAAGTAGTGTTATGCATTTCTATAGTGAGATTTTTAAAAGGAAATGTTAATAAGCATCCAGGTTTCTAAAGTATTAGATGCAAGTATCAAATCCTTGGCGCATTGACATGTGTAAAAGTAAACGATAGGCACATCTCCATATTACACATTCTTCACCACTATCAACTGCCTCAAAAATGCATATTTTTCTCTTCTTAAAAAGTATAATTTCAACAACCTCAAAACAATTTTTTCTCTAATTTCCATCTAATAAACACATCGATCCCCAACAATGCGTGCAAAGATTAATTAACAAGAAATACAACCAAAAACAAGAAATACAAAATCCCAACCAAAATTCACAAATTTGATCATTAAAAGAAATGATTAATTTAGAACAAAACATCAAGTGAAACTATCATGATAGGGACAAAGCTTTATTGAAAGCTTGATTATTTAACCACATTGGTAATGACACAAAACTTTTTGATTTAAAAGAACAAGACATCCGGGTTTGAGAAAAACCAGAACAAAAGAAATGGCTAACCTAGTAACGCAGCCAGTATGTGCGGCGCCTGAACCAGTTGTAATCAGGAAGGCTTTGGATTGGTCCCATTGCGGCAATCGCAATGTCCTGAAAAGATGAGAATTAAAGTCAAGAAAGCAGTCTCTCTCTTCTCTCTCTCTCTCTCTCTCTCTCACACACACACACACAGACACACAGTTGATGCATGTAACTTTATGAACCAGCGTCTACAAAACTTAGTCGAGTCCACTGGGACTCGCCTAAGTTTCTAGGAGCCGGCTTCCTGCCGAGCCAGGAACCATACACAGGGGAATCAGTCGAGTATAGACATTCCCACGATGTCATAAATTGTTCGATTGAAAATGGCCGAGTCAGATGCTTAGAACCCCAGTGACTCCTGACCCGAGTCCATGTTATCTGACACTGTTAAGAACATTAGAACCCCAACATGCTAAAACATGTTTAAAGAAGCAAAAGAACAAACATTGTCGAGAAAAATAAACAAGAAGTAATGCTGATAACAAACTAATGCAGATAAGAAATGTCCAGTGGATTCTTACCCTGTCAAAAATGAACCTATTGGCAACACGCTTCACAGTGCTCACATCAACCGCATCTATTCTTGCAAAGAGTTCGGCAACAGGGATTCTACGGCCATAAGTAAGCAGCTGAACAACAAAAAAATAAGTGTGATCATGGATCAACATATGGGGACAATCTCTCTCTCGCTCACACACACACACCCACCCACCTGGCGACCAATATCTTCAGCTATAGGACTGGTTCCATCAATGTGAAGTTGCAGAGAAGATTTCAACTGCAAAACCAGATTAACCCTTTAGATCAGCAAACTTGCATAACAAGAATGGAAAAACCCCATTGTGGGGCTACATTTCCTCAATATCTTGCAGTTTCATAAAAATTTGAACGACATCCAAATGTATAAATAGATTCCCCCATGTAGATATTTTTTTACATCAGAAAGTTACCACTAATGAGTTAAGCTTACAAGAGGATGTGATGGAGCAGCAGCAACAAGAGAAGTCAAAATAAAAAAGAAGTATTTCCTTCTGTATTTTATGCACTTGCTGAAATTGACGAGCATATCTTTTCAAAATCATTATAAGAAAAGCACCTCATCGTACACATGTACATATGCACATACAGTTTCCTGCAATAAACTACACTTACATTACACTCACATCACATGCCAATTTAAAACAAGAGGCTCTTTGTAATGTGAGTTATTAAAGTTGGGTCAACTTTTGGATGATTGAGAGCCTAGAAATGGAGCAAAGTAGGCAGTTCTCAGTCAGCTCATACTTGATTGATATTTTAAGCGAGGGTAGCAAGAGGACCGGAGCCCTTCCTCTGTGCGGCATTCCAAAAACTGTTGAGACTATAGTTTTGCTGTTTCCTAGAACCTATTAACACCCATTCACTTTTTCTTTTATCAATAGCACCGACTCACTTATTGAACATGACAAACATTACAATTCCCTGTTTTCAATACTGTGATTATGTGTAAGAAAAGGGCAAGGAGACAGGATGTGCTGCTCTTTTATTGCTCCTTTGCCATGATCATCTGGGTTTTCTAGATCTTTTTTATGATACTAAGAAAACCCATTGCTCAATCGAAAGTTAATAAAAACTTCCCTGAGGGTCCTTGAATATACTGGTTAAAAATAAATGTGGATCAAAGGAATGAAATAAAGCCAATTTGAACATCAAACCATTAAGGATGCTTGACATTTTCCGAGCTTTCAAGCCATGTGAAATAAAGAAAAAGCAATGGGGCTCAGTATCATTGCATCAAGGACCATAAACACCAAATAAGATGGGCATCCCACTTCAGATACCACCAACCAAATTGCCTTTCTTAGAACCAAAGTAGAAAGAAAAAGCAAACAACAGAAAAGAGACCTAAAGGATTAAACAAAATAATAGGAATTCAATCAATATTTCTTCAAAAAAACACTAGATAAACTTATCTTAGACTCAACTGTACATAGAGTAAGAAGAGTGTACAGATCCAGTAATGTTACAGGAACCAGCCATTTTTATGTGTTCATGACTTCATCTAAAGATCAGAAACATGGATGGCTTTGACCAAAAGAATATCATTTTTCTGGGTGTTCATCTGCTGCCTAACCCCTCATCAGATTTATATGAAAAACTATTGTTCATGTAGTTCTTGGTCGATAAACCATTCACTCAATAAAGTCTATGCATAAAGGAAGTAAAGCATTTACTCACAAAAGGAAGAAAGAGGAGGAGAAAAGGGGGGGAGGGGAATGTTGGGTGGGAATCCCTGAATAATGAATATATTGAATGTCATTAACCCTCTCAACACATCATTTCAGGAGAAAGCAAATTATAGTCAGTCCGCTTTGATACATCAAAGAGTCGTACAGATTTTTTTTTCTTTTTGGATCAATACAATCTTGATAAAGCCTATGCATAAAGGAAGTAAAGCATAGGAGAAGAAAAAGGGTGGATGGGGAGGGGGGGATGTTGGGTGGGAATCCCTGAATAATGAATATATTGAATGTCATTAACTTTCTAACACATCATTTCAGGAGAAAGCAAATTATAGTCAGTCAGCTTTGATACATCAAAGTAAGAGTCGTATAGATTTGTAAGAGTCGTATAGATTTTTTTTTTTCTTTTTGGATCAATATAATCAGCAATTTGTTTAAAAAAGAAGTACTAACAAGATTACAATGTGAGATGCAAATATTAAAACATGAACTTGATTAGTGGTATCATCCTACAACGTATCACGCTCAGGAGCATATAGATTGCATCAACATTAAAGTGAGTACTGAGTACTAATATTTCACCTGGTTTCGAGCACGGGTAACATCCTCTTCTGAAACTCTGTATGATAGCTTGCTGATTTCATACATAATTGCCCAAGCCAAATCATCCAAGCCATCCGGCTAAACACAAGATTTTAAAACTCATATAAATAAGTAGTTCACAATTAATAATCAAAGCTAATATGCAAAGACAAGAAACATTCCATTATATAACAATCAAGAACCACGAAATACACCCATGCTTTTAAAAATAACAAAAAGCTGCACATCACAAAGCTCACAGAAATTACAGGTCACTTTAGCCCTTTCCCCATTGTCCACAGAGAAAACGTTTTTTTTTTTCTTCTTTTTTTTTTTGGGGGAAACGGGAGGAAAGACGAACAGTCCACCCAGCGCAGCCCTAGGGCGCACGCCTAAGCCTGGGCATCCCTTCCTGGGCACCAGTACTTAGGCGCCTGCCCAGGTAGGATGGCCTGTTTCCTGTCTTTAAAGTAGCCACTACGTGCGTTTTATGTAATTTGGATCCCAAAATTGTTTTAAAAGAGTAATGGGGAGGCCTATTTAAAACCCCCAAAGTATACATATGTTAAAAAAAAACTTATAATAATAAAATAAAAATATTTAAAAAAAAACTGTATAAGCCCTACATCAATGGAACATGGAGAGTTAGAAACTAATACAATAACACACTATGGTAAGTTTTTTAAGTAAATTTTTTATGATTTGAAGTTTTGAAAATGTTTATTCTTAACATGCAATATGTATGAAAAGTTAGTTACAATACATCCAAATGCAAAAAATTGCAAAATTAACACAAATATATGCATATGTCTGTTAGACAACACACATATGCTTACACCCGAGGTTCTAAGTGCCCACCTAGGCGCCGGGTGTTGGGCACTGGGTCCCAGGTCAGCCGCCTAGGGGCCCAAGCATTTTTTGAAAGCTTGCCTAATATTTACCAGGAACTAATATGTAACAATCATCAGACACCCACAAAGCACCCGGGGACAGAGAACTTTTTGAGGGTAGACAGCTTCTTGAGGGAGTTTTTGGGTGATTTCAAAATTCTCTCCAAACCAATGTCAAATCATAATTGTTTTTAACCAATGTTAGATATATAATTATCTCTATCAAAAAGGGTGCAAGCTTTATATTATTTAGCTCGAACCTAATCCTATTCTCTTTTGTTTAGCTTTATGTTGTAGCATATATCTTGTGACTAAATCCATGTTAATGTTTCAAAAAGAGGCCCGCCCAAAACGTAGGTGGGCCAAGGGCGCCTAGGCGCATTGCCCAAGCCTAGGCGGGCTGTACTTGGGCACCCACCAAGGGACTATGCCCGCCTAGGGACAGCAATGCCTCTTGGCGAGGGTCCTAGGGCCATTTTCCATCATTTCTCCCCCAAAATAAGGGAGGAAGCGAAGAGAAACGGGAGTTTCTACACCCCTAATCCCATTTTGAACCCTAAGAGACCCAAATAAGCACTCTTATGTCCTCTTAAGAATTATGTTTATGGACTCCGAAGTAGGGTTATGGACCATGGATTACGGATTGTGATTTGTGACTTTTTTATATATTTTTATTTAGTTGTGGTAGTAGTCTAGTACTTTGGTTCGAAGCTTTGCATTATGGGATTTTGATATTTCATGAGTTAGTGTGTTATTGTCCTATCGTGATAGTTGTCCTAAATATAGTCTGGTATTATGGTTTATGTTTGTGGAATATGGAGTAAGTCTACAAATTGTGTATTTTTGGTAGTAACATAACTGTGGTTTTGATTTGGAATGATTCCACATATAAATGCATAAAAATCATTGAATATACATTTTCATACAAAATTTAAATCTAAAATAGGATTCCCTGGACACCCCCTACCCCTCTGCTGGACCTGGGCCGCCCAGGTCCCTGGGCGCCCGAGTAGCCAAGAACCCCCTGGCTGCCTGGGCGCCACCCAGCATTTTTTGAGACACTGATCCTTATCAAGCAGATAAACAGATTTCTTATACTACCCATTAAGTTCCACAACTAATAATTTCCAAGAATCACCTTAATAGAGGCACTCAAAAAGTAAAATCAAATTCGACTAACAACAAATCAAATGTCTTTTTTTTTTTCAAGGGTAGCAAATAAAATATCAAACCTTGGCAATCGCATAAACACCAAACAAACCAGTGTCCTTATAGTTTGTGTTAAAAGCCATCATACTTTCAGCTATCTCATTTATCCCAATCCTCTGGGCAAGCTCTGACCTGTTTAAAATACGATATTATTAAAATCTGGCACACAAACAAACTTATCATTATCCAGAAAAAAACTATTAATCCAATGAAATCAATTTGCTTATAAGTAAATCTAGTAAGTCATTGACAAGACAATTTTCATCAGAACTAACCCCAGGTGCTTCCCTCCACCAGTATTCTTATTCCAAGAACCGAGCATGGATTGCATCACCATCAAAGCAATTGAATCTGGATCTGTCCAAGAAGCACCTTCGAATGCTACTGCGAATTGTGCAAGAGAAACATCATCATCTATCATCCGGACCTAAAGAAATGCAAAATAAGTTATCAACTTATTACTAGTCCAGATGCTCGATAAAAACCATAAATTTTGCAAACAAATGTAGCATCATAATGCAGAAAGTAAACATCAATGTTTTTCTAAAAAACAAGAAAGAGTATAAGAAATCAATGGAAAGATCAACACCTCAGAACCCGTAAAGGCTGCAGGCTCTTTTGCTACTAATTGGGCTGCTGTGGTAGGATTCGTGGAAAGCTTTGTAAAAAGCTTCTTCACTTGTTCAACCATATCCTCATGTTGAACAGCACCAGCCGCTGAAATTACCTGGAATTCAAAAAATAAATAAATAGACAAATAAATAAATAAATTCAATTTGAAAGACTAAACTGTTTTTTGTTCTTGAAAAGCAAAAACATCTAGGATCAAACATTTCTAACCAGGTGGAGACTCAGACAAATATATGGTCTAGTAGGAAAAAACACCTCATTGCTTTTAAATACATGAAATAGAGAAAAGCGGCTCTACCATCGATGCCTACGGTAATATTAGACACGAGAACTCATGTTTTAATTCCAACACAAGAACATACCATTCTTGGAGCAGTGTAATGCGTTGAAATGTAATTCTGCAGATGAGCTTTTGAGATGGTCTTGATATTCTGAGCAGGTCCTAGTATAGTTCTACCCAAAGGAGAGTACTGGAATGCAGTAGCATGCAAATGATCAAAAATGACTTCTTCAGCTTGACCCTCCACCTACAAGATTGAGCAACCATTAACTCTTAAATATCAAAAAATAGTACCTAATTGGCAAAACGAAAAAGGAGACCACAATTAATTTACCAAATAATCTTGAGTCATTTGTAGCAAATATGCATGACATCAATCTCTTTTTTCTTTTTATTGATTGGCACACATCATAGTTAAACATCATAGAAATAGAATCAACAGAATGCAAGTCATGCGCATTTCACATATGAAGCAAATATAAGTAACAAGCATTATCTGACAATCTAGCAAACAGATCATACGAATGCAAACAAACATCTTCTCTGTCAAGGAAATCAGTTCATATAAATGTAAAATTAAAAACAAGAGCACATAGCCACAACCCAGGCAAATTATAGAAACAGTGAAAAAATTCAGGCGAGTCCAGTCGGGCTTGCCTGAGTCACTCAGAATTGGCAGGCTGCCAGGTCCAGAACACCCCCAACTCGGGTATATATATTTTATTTGTTATTATATATGTTTTATTTTTAATTAATTATGAGTGAATATTCGATACTCCCGTGGAAGCATACTGCCCATCTACTTTCCGGTCGAAAACCTAATTAAGCAGATTTTTACAATCTGAAATTTTGGAAAGTAAATAAGAATCACTAGATGATTATTTTTCAAAAGATGAAAATTGATTTTTAAGCTTTTTGATACTTGGATGATTGAATCTCACCCTAAAAAAATTGGATGGTCTCTATTCAATCTTGAAAGATTCTTTCTTTTCAATGGCATAGAGAGTGACGGTATTGCATCCCCAAACTTTGGAATCCTAAAATTACTCCTAAATTGAGTTTTACAAGGTAGTAAACAGACAATATGCTTCCTCAGGAGATTAATCATAATTGAATATGGTTAACTTATAATTCATTCAATGTTTCTCGAAATCAATTATAAAAGATTTATAATCAATTTTGTGTAAGTATTTTCATATTTTTTTATGATTTTTAATAATTTTCAGATCTATTTTTCTCAGAAATTTCAGAAAGATAACCAGTTTTCTATTTTTTCTATACTTTGAAGACTTTTTCACATCTTATAGGTACTTCTTTATGTTGCTTCCCATTTCTTTTTCTATTTTCTTATTTTTATCCTTTCTAAATATTCTCTTAACTTATTTTAATTTTTTTTGTTCCTTTGGAAGGCTAGGACAGGACGACTTGCCCGAGTCATTTGGCTCACCCATGGGAGAGTTCCGAGCCCGAGCCATGTTTTAAGACGGTGTTTAGAAATTACACTGCATCTGTATGTGTCCACGAATACATGCAGAATGGACCTGCAATTTGACAAATGCTAAAAGGACTGAACAGGTCACTGATCGGATTAAGAAGCCACTTCTATTCGATATCAATCAAATCAAATCAAATTAAAGGGGCCAAATGGTCAGAAAAGTCTTTAAAAGATAATATACATAAGTGAAAAGAATAAAGAGATCCAAAAAAGAATAAAGAGATCCAAAAAAGAAATCCAGGCCAACCCGATAACTCTAAGTAGCCATTTCAACCGTTCTAACAAGTCCAACACGACTGCTAATAAGTTTTTGGAAAAACCCAAAAAAAAAATTTGAGCTAGAACCAATCAGTTCCTTTTTTTTATGACAAGAAGGGATACAATTAGAAATTAATACATTTGGGATAATTTAGGTGTGGCACCAATAGGAGACAAGATGAGAGAAAGTATACTTAGGTAGGCTTGCAATGCGTGGCACAAACTCGGTCCAGCGCCTACTAAGAGGTGTGAGTTAGTTTAAATGGAACGCTCACAAAGGGGCATAGTTTAAATGCAACGCTCACAAAGGGGCAAGGGGTAGGCCTAAAAAGACATGGTTGGAAGTAATATGAAAAGATATGGGGGACTTATGGCCTCACTGATGGTAAAGGCCTTAATAGAGGAAAATGGTAGAACAAAATTCCTATAGCCGACTGCAATTAGTTGGGAAAAGGTTCTAACGATGATGACGAACCAATGAGTTTTTTCAAATTTTGGCTTGACCTTGGGTGGAATCAGTCCAAACGCTACCCTCGGTTCATCTAGTCTTTCTGTATAAGTATCTGATAATAGCCGCTATGCATCAACGTTAATTTGTGTGTGTGTGTGTGTGCATTTGCATAAAAATAACATTCACATAATATGCATGTGAATATATTCCAAGTTACCAACACGCACATCAAGGCTTCATAGTCTTGACATAATCCCATAGCACGTTTGTGGATCACATTCTAAGTTAGCCACTATTTGGAAAACAACTAACAAAATGCCCCGCCATGTGCATGATTAAAGAACCCTATTTGTAAGTGTTTGTTGTTTTTTGGGGCGAGGGGGGGGGAGGCAGGGGGAGGTACATACACCTTCACTATTTACCTCATGAAAGTCTTCCAGGAATTTACGACTAAGTTATAACATTAGGCCCCACTTGGATGTAAAATCAGGTTCTTTTCTCCGAAAAGAGCTTGCTTGGGAATAATGAAGCGGACCAAGCTATGCCACACTTAACTCCTAAATGGGCACAAGAAAGAATATCGCTATGCACTATTAAATAGTACGCCTAAACGGAACCTTATTGTTTATACATAACTATAGTACTACATTCTCAGATGTCCTGCTTTTCATGACTGGTGAGTGCTTATCTTTATTTGGGGCAGATATCATTGGCCACACATTTGGACTGACACTATACCATAGAACTGAAATATAAAATGGACACATATTTGAACTCTTCTTGGGTGTGATATGTGAAAGTAGGGTTAGGCAATAGATATTCCTTCTATATAATTCTCTTACTATCATTTATACACAACTATAGTACCACATTCTCAGATGTCCTGTTTTCATGACTGGTGAGTGCTTGTCTTTATTCGGGGCAGATATCATTGGCCACACATTTGGACTGACAGTATTACCATAGAACTGAAGTATAAAATGGACACATATTTGAACTCTTCTTGGGTATGACATGTGAACATACGGTTATGCAATAGATATTCCTCCTATATAATTCTCTTACTATTCTCCACAAAGCTCATAGAAATCATGTGTGCTGGTGTTGTTTTGTTAAGAAGCAAGCATGTCACTTATATTTGACTCTTGTATATGAAGTGCCTTTGCATTATAATGGCATGCAATCTCCTAATATTCTGAGAGGAGAGGAGAGGAGAGGTTTAAGAGAGTAAGTCAAAATTGCTATCATATTGAGCAAGCCACATATTGCAGCTTCTTCCACATGCACATATCATTTTAGGGCTGACAGAGTTCTCTTTGGGCCTAGGGGACAGGAAAAAATCATGGATCATATCGTGATGCACTGAGACACTTGGGGAGTATGCACAGGTATTCCAAACTCATTTCAAATGTCAAGGTAGAGAAAAGTAAAACTTTCTGCAGTTTGGTGAGGGACTAGAAGATGATGTGGGACTAAATGAGGATTTCTATTTTGGGGACACTGCCCCTTAAATCATATAAACTTTTTAGGATGAAGTAAATGATCAAATGGGACAGAGCCTCAAAGACTATATGAGGAAGAAGTGGTTGAAATCGTTAGATGGGGAATAGTGTAAGATCAATACAGGCCCAAGGGAACAGGTCAAAGTTGAGGAATTTGAAAGGTTGCAGGTGAAGATGATTTAAATTTCTATTTGTGACATAGGTCTACGCTCACTGGATTCGTCTGGCAACTGGATTCATAAAGCCCATATTCTACAAGATTCCAGAGAAAAGGGTGGACCTCATCGTGTTTGGATGTATAATTCAATATAATAATAGTGAACATCGATTCTCTAATGTTTATTTAAGTTAGTTGTAGTTAATAGATGAGAAAAGGCACTTATTAGATAAAAGGTGTGGTATGTGGCATGCCTTTCTCCCTCTCTGCAAATGTGAACTAACAAATGGCCAAAAATAATGGGAGTAAAAGAATGAAATAAGCTACAGCTTGAGTTTTATTGATCGGTCTGTGTTCAAGCTACAACCTTCATCTAGATAAATAAATTTCTTAGGCGGCTTCTCAAAGTACTTAGGTGCTAGCAGGAGACTTGAGAGTACGCATTCCAACAGAGATTAATAGGAATTACAAAAATTTAAATTGTCAAAGAAAAGGTGATGTGAGAGATGCATAAGATTTTGTATTCCAAGAAAGCAAACTAAACAGAGGACGGCTGGGAAAAGTCCAAGCATCACTTGGCAAGTTTCGGGTCTACATGACTTTTTAGTTTTTATTATCACAACGGGATCTAGAAATATATGCATTTAGCTTTTGATTGCTAAATAATAATTAACGAGAGCAAACAATACAATTTTGCAGAAAAAATAAATCTACAATATGGTATTTATCCTTAAAACTGCTCTAACTTAGCAGCATCCCAAGATACAATAATTGAAATGAAGCCCCATTTAGAAGAGGCGGCATTACTATTATTATCCAAGAGTGCATCAGATTCAAGTATCAAATGAATCTTCCAAACTTTTTTTTTTTTTGAGGAGATGGTTAACTTTGTATTAATGGTACAGTGTATTACATCAAAAAAAGCTCAAAAGAAAGCATCCCACAAGTTGGGTGCTCGACTACAATATAAATAGTTGGTGGGGAAGGGGATAAGAAAATAAAGAAGTAGAGGGTAGTGAAAGAGACAAGAGCATAAGAAAGTAAAACAGTAGGCGGCGGCTCGAGAAAGAAAAGAAAACGAGCTACAACTTGAATAGGTGCTCTGTAAGGTGCCGCCACCGAGGTAGGGTTGGTCTTCAATTCCCTTCCGTCCGAGATGACGTAGCAGCACAAGGAAGAGGGAGTGTGAAGGCCCATAGAAAGGTGGGGTAAGGGGCAGAGGGGTGAAGGTCGATGAAGAATAAGAGAGGTTAAAGGGGCGATAGAGGTTAGAAGGAGGAGAGTGGGAGAGAAGAAGGATGGATCGTACATAGGAGGTGTGAAGAGAAGAGAGGGGAGGGGAAGAGAGAAGACAGCTGTTAGAAAGAAATTTGAGAAGGTAGTG